CCAAGATAGCCTGGAAGAGACCCCCCCGAAATGAGACCCCCCTCCCTTTATTACGAAATCTGGAGCACCCAGACCACGGCTTTATTGACCGTTCTTCCCGAATCGGTGCTTGCACTGAAGGGGTCCTTGGGCTTTTTCCCTTGTGTAGCTTGATTCGTTGTTCTGCCGATCGGCGTGGACCCCCGAACGCCCCCTTCCCCCCCATGGAGTCGATCTTGGCTGTTTTTGGGGGGCGCCTGCTTCGAGCGGGTGGAGACTCCTCCAGAGGCAGCACTCCTTGCAAACGGCCGCACGAAGCAGAGGTCTGGAGCCAGACCCCCCCCCCTCCCCCCCCCCCTTCCGCCCAACGTCCAAACGCCGAGTAACAAAAACACGCTCACCTTCTCAGGAAAAGATGCAGCCGCTCAGAGGAAGAGGAAGCTCGGGGACGCTCCCCAAGGGAGGCGATTCGGACGCACCGCTATCGAGGATGGGCGCCGCCGCATTGCACATCCCCGACCAGGGCCCCAAATTCATAGTCCACTCGGCAACCCCATGAAGTCGGGCATATGGGTCGACATATCTCGTGCTAGAGTCAGGAGGAAAAGAAACACACAGACACAATTAACCCTCGACTCCCCAGGAAATTACGCTACCGAGGAACCCCACATACTGATTGTATGTCTTGTGTGAACCGCGCTACCACTACCACTTCCGTCATGCTCTCAGGTGCCCCCTGTGGTCGTTGAAAGGAGGGGGAAGGACGTGTGAGGGGAGAGGAGGGGTTGAGGAGTCATCTGTGACGATCATATCCGGCGTCGCCTGGCACTTGGATACGAGAGGTACTACGCAATCCCGCACTAGAGGCTATGCCTGGACGACCCTGGCACGCATAGGGGGACCACCCCCTGCGCACCCCCTCTGGTGTCGAGGAAATGCCACGCCTGCTATGCCTGGACGACCCTGGCACGCATAGGGAGACCACCCCCTGCGCACCCCCTGTGGTGTCGAGAAAATGCCACGCCTGCTATGCCTGGACGACCGACCCTGGCACGCATAGGGGGACCACCCCCTGCGCACCCCCTCTGGTGTCGAGAAAATGCCACGCCTGCTATGCCTGGACGACCCTGGCACGCATAGGGGGACCACCCCCTGCGCACCCCCTCTGGTGTCGAGAAAATGCCACGCCTGCTATGCCTGGACGACCCTGGCACGCATAGGGAGACCACCCCCTGCGCACCCCCTCTGGTGTCGAGAAAATGCCACGCCTGCTATGCCTGGACGACCCGGGCACGCATAGGGAGACCATCCCCTGCGCACCCCCTCTGGTGTCGAGAAAATGCAACGCCTGCTCTGCCTGGACGACCCTGGCACGCATAGGGGGACCACCCCCTGCGCACCCCCTCTGGTGTCGAGAACATGCCACGCCTGCTACGCCTGCTAGGCTTTGCGCCAGTGTCGTGGATAGCGGCCGAGCTGAGAGACCACCCCCTGCGCACCCCCTGTGGTGTCGAGAAAGTGCCACGCCTGCCACCCTTTTGCGCCAGTGTCGTGGATAGCGGCCGTGCTGAGAGACCACCCCCTGCCCACCCCCTGCAGTGTCGAGAAAGTGCCACGCCTGCTAGGCGTTGCGCCAGTGTCGTGGATAGCGGCCGAGCTGAGAGACCACCCCCTGCGCACCCCCTGAGGTGTCGAGAAAGTGCCACGCCTGCTAGGTTTTGCGACAGTGTCGTGGATAGCGGCCGAGCTGAGAGACCACCCCCTGCGCACCCCCTGTGGTGTCGAGAAAGTGCCACGCCTGCTAGGCTTTGCGACAGTGTCGTGGATAGCGACCGAGCTGAGAGACCACCCCCTGCGCACCCCCTGTGGTGTCGAGAAAGTGCCACGCCTGCTAGGCTTTGCGCCAGTGTCGTGGATAGCGGCCGAGCTGAGAGACCACCCCCTGCGCACCCCCTGTGGTGTCGAGAAAGTGCCACGCCTGCTAGCTTTGCGCCAGTGTCGTGGATAGCGGCCGAGCTGAGAGACCACCCCCTGCGCACCCCCTGTGGTGTCGAGAAAGTGCCACGCCTGCTAGGCTTTGCGCCAGTGTCGTGGATAGCGGCCGAGCTGAGAGACCACCCCCTGCGCACCCCCTGTGGTGTCGAGAAAGTGCCACCCTGCTCGTGGATAGCGGCCGAGCTGAGAGACCACCCCCTGCCCACCCCCTGTGGTGTCGAGAAAGTGCCACGCCTGCTAGGCTTTGCGCCAGTGTCGTGGATAGCGGCCGAGCTGAGAGACCACCCCCTGCGCACCCCTGTGGTGTCGAGAAAGTGCCACGCCTGCTAGGCTTTGCGCCAGTGTCGTGGATAGCGGCCGAGCTGAGAGACCACCCCCTGCCCACCCCCTTTGGTGTCGAGAGAGTGCCACGCCTGCTAGGCTTTGCGCCAGTGTCGTGGATAGGGACCGCGGTGAGAGACCACCCCCTGCGCACCCCCTGTGGTGTCGAGAAAGTGCCACGCCTGCTAGGCTTTGCGCCCCGTGGATAGCGGCCGAGCTGAGAGACCACCCCCTGCGCACCCCCTGTGGTGTCGAGAAAGTGCCACGCCTGCTAGGCTTTGCGCCAGTGTCGTGGATAGCGGCCGAGCTGAGAGACCACCCCCTGCGCCCCCCCTGTCGTGTCGAGAAGGTGCCACGAGCTGTGCTGAGCTGAGCCGTGCTGGGCTGTGCTGGGCTGTGCTGAGCTGAGCCGAGCTGTGCTGTGCTGAGCTGAGAAGTGCTGTGCTGTGCTGTGCTGAGGTGAGCTGAGCTGAGCTGAGCAGTGCTGTGACGAGGGGGGGAAGAGTGAAGTGTGTGTGTGTGTGTGTGTGTGAGAGTGAGGGGAGGAAGAACGCGAGAGGATGGGAGGTGTGAGGAGACGCGGGTGCGGCGCGGCAGGGAAGACAACCAGAACCCCACGAAGCATGTGGGGAAATATGGGAAAATACGGGAAGTTGGGGGAAGCACAGAAACACCGAAACTATGGGAACTTATCCCGGCAACGCAACCTAACAGCGATGTGTAGGAGCATATCTCGAAGCATTCCCCTTAAGATTCGGATGAGAATCCAGTTGTAGAATTCTGCTGTTCTCGCAGTCGTAGTCTCATTCGCGATGACAGTCGCAGTGGCAACGGCAGTCGCAGTCACAGCCTCAGCCTCAGCCTCAGCCTCAGCCTCAGCCTGCCTCAGCCTCAGCCTCAGCCTGCTTCAGCCTCAGCCTCAGCCTCAGCCTGCCTCAGCATCAGCCTGCCTCAGCCTCAGCCTCAGCCTCAGCCTCAGCCTCAGCCTGCCTCAGCCTCAGCCTGCTTCAGCCCTCAGCCTCAGCCTGCCTCAGCCTCAGCCTCAGCCTGCTTCAGCCTCAGCCTCAGGCCTCGGCCTCAGCCTCAGCCTCAGCCTCAGCCTGCCCTCAGCCTCAGCCTGCCTCAGCCTCAGCCTCAGCCTCAGCCTCAGCCTGCCTCAGCATCAGCCTCAGCCTCAGCCTCAGCCTCAGCCTCAGCCTGCCTCAGCCTCAGCCTGCCTGCCTCAGCCTCAGCCTCAGCCTGCCTCAGCCTCAGCCTCTGCCTCAGCCTCAGCCTGCTCAGCCTCAGCCTCAGCCTGCAGCCTCAGCCTCAGCCTCAGCCTCAGCCTCAGCCTCAGCCTCAGCCTCAGCCTCAGCCTCAGCCTCAGCCTCAGCCTCAGCCTCAGCCTCAGCCTCAGCCTGCTTCAGCCTCAGCCTCAGTCTTCAGCCTTCAGCCTCAGGCTCAGCCCCTCAGCCTCAGCCTGCATCAGCCTCAGCCTCAGCCTCAGCCTGCCTCAGCATCAGCCTGCCTCAGCCTCAGCCTCAGCCTCAGCCTGCCTCAGCCTCAGCCTCAGCCTGCTTCAGCCTCAGCCTCAGTCTGCCTTCAGCCTCGGCCTCAGCCTCAGCCTGCCTCAGCCTCAGCCTGCCTCAGCCTCAGCCTCAGCCTCAGCCTGCCTCAGCCTCAGCCTGCCTCAGCCTCAGCCTCAGCCTGCTTCAGCCTCAGCCTCAGTCTGCCTTCAGCCTCGGCCTCAGCCTCAGCCTGCCTCAGCCTCAGCCTGCATCAGCCTCAGCCTCAGCCTCAGCCTGCCTCAGCATCAGCCTGCCTCAGCCTCAGCCTCAGCCTGCCTCAGCCTCAGCCTCAGCCTGCTTCAGCCTCAGCCTCAGTCTGCCTTCAGCCTCGGCCTCAGCCTCAGCCTGCCTCAGCCTCAGCCTGCATCAGCCTCAGCCTCAGCCTCAGCCTGCCTCAGCATCAGCCTGCCTCAGCCTCAGCCTGCCTCTGCCTCAGCCTCAGCCTGCTTCAGCCTCAGCCTCAGTCTGCCTTCAGCCTCGGCCTCAGCCTCAGCCTGCCTCAGCCTCAGCCTGCCTCAGCCTCAGCATCAGCCTGCCTCAGCATTCAAAATGTGGCCCGGGAATGGAGTTCTGGGAACTCGAAGAACACGAAGTGGCCTACAGTTGGCTCCGGGCATTCAAAATCATGCCCAGGAATGGAGTTCTGGGAACTCGAAGACCACGAAGTGGCCTACAGTTGGCTCCGGGCATTCAAAATGTGGCCCGGGAATGGAGTTCTGGGAACTCGAAGAGCACGAAGTGGCCTACAGTTGGCTCCGGGCATCCAAAATGTGGCCCGGGAATGGAGTTCTGGGAAGTCGAAGAGCACGAAGTGGCCTACAGTTGGCTCCGGGCATCCAAAATGTGGCCCGGGAATGGAGTTCTGGGAAGTCGAAGAGCACGAAGTGGCCTACAGTTGGCTCCGGGCATTCAAAATGTGGCCCGGGAATGGATTTTTGGGAGGTCGAAGAGCACGAAGTGTGTGACTGTTTGCTTAAAACGAGCCCGGTTCTCGCCTGTCCGGCTCCCGCCCAGACCCCCCTGGGGAGTCATCAGATGCTGTTTTTTGACCCCATTAGAAACCTATCAGTCTTCGCTGCTAGTTAACTATAGGGGAATCGTTTATTTGTGTCTATTTATTTGTGTGTCCTGGGGCCCCTTCAATATGGGTCGACATCTCTCGTGCTGGAGATCTCGAGCCCGCGAGCAGGGGGACTTGCCACCCTGAGCGACGCGAGAGAACGGGGTCGTCTTCGCCGACGTTGGCGCGGAAGCTGCCCGCGTGAGGTCGCGCGCAAGCGCTCTCGCTTCCAACGCAGCGTGCCGCGCTCGCGACCCGCGTAAGCCACCGCGTAAGGTCGCTACAGTAGGGGTCTTGAAGAAGGAACCCTTCTCGTTGGGGAGGGGCTCCGCGTTCCTTAAGTGTTTCACTGCTTGCCTCAGGTTTTTCCTTATGTTCTCGATAGGAAATCGAAGGTCAACTTACGGGAGAAAGGGGCCTCGTTCCTTATTTAGGGTTCCTTAGGTCAACGCCCCTACTGTATGCTGTATGCCACTTCGCGCAAGACCCGTTGCTGGTCGCCGACCACGAAGTAGAACCACGAGGTCGGGCAGATGTGCCGACGCATCCCCTGCTGGAGACCTCGCACCCAGGAGCAGGCCGACCGCCACCTGCGCCTCCGCGTACCGCGGCCGCGCCCCCCCCCCGCGGCCCGCGAGGTTCCGGCACCTGCTCGCGGAGGGCGTGGCGCCGGAGCCCCCCGGTTCGGCACGGGGCCGCATGCGCGCAAGGCGACGCGCGGCGATGCTCGGCGGCGGGCGGCGAGAGTCGGCGGCGGTGGCAACGACGACGACGACGACGACGTCGACGACGACGGCGACGACGACGACGACGACAGCGGCGACGACGACGACGACGACGGCGACGACGGCGGCGACGACGACGACGACGACGGCGGCGACGACGACGACGACGACGACGGCGGCGCGGCGACGACGACGACGACGGCGGCGGCGGCGGCGGCGGCGGCGGCGGCGGCGACGGCGACGGCGACGGCGACGACGACGGCGACGACGCCGCCGCGGCGGGGTCTTTCGCGGCAGGGGACATCCGGCGTCTCGAGAAAAGCCGAGGCGGGGGCTTGGTCCTCGTTTATAGAGCCTCTCGGGGCCCTCGCGGGGTTCCGGGGCCGTCCACAGAGCGGTTCGGGACGAGAGACACGGGCCCCGGGGAGGCAGGAGGTGGTCGAGCGGTCGAGGCGAGAAGTGGCCGAGATGGCTCGGGACGAGGTGGCCGAGGCGGCCCAGTCCAAGCAGCGGCTCGGGACGAGGCGGTCGAGCGAAGAAAGGGGGGACGAGATCGTCAGCGAGCGAAGAACGGTATAAAATAAACTTTCCGCCGTCGGGGACACTTGCCCCTGGGCAGCTGGAAAGTTTATACCCCCACGGTGCCACCGTAAGGGTATAAACTTTCCAGCTGCCCTGGGGCAGGTGTCCCCGACGGCGGAAAGTTTATTTTATACCGTTCTTCGCCCGTTAAGATCGGGGGCCCGCGTCTCGAACAAAAACGAGGCGCGCGATGTCTGGGGGGCGGCGAGCATGGCCACGGCGGCGGCGGCGGCGACGGCGGCGACGGTCGCGGCGGCCACGCCGGCAGCGGCGGCGGCGGCGGCGACGCCCCCGGCGGCCTCGGCGACAGCGGCAACGACCGCCGCGCCGCGTTCTCTTCCTCCCTGGCTCTTCTCCCCCTGGCCTTTCCCTCCTCCTGTGCCTCCCTCCTTCCTTCCAGGGCCTCCCTCTTCAGCTCCTCCTCCTCCTCCTCCTCCTCCTCCTCCTCCTCCCCTTTCCTCCACCTCCACCTCCACCTCCTCCTCCCCTTTCCTCCTACTCCTACTCCTACTCCTACTCCTACTCCTACTCCTACTCCTCCTCCTTCCCCTCTCCCTCCGTCCCTGCCTCCCCCCACGTCTTTCCCCACCACCCCTCTTCTTCTCGTCCTCCTCCCCGCAGCCCTCGCCTCGCCTCGTCTTTCATGGCCCATCGGCGGTCCATTCGTCGTTACCTGCGGCCGGAGTTGTCTGGGAGCTGGCGCTTGACTCTAGCCCATGTCCGCAAAAAAATCCTCCTCGCCCCCATCTCTATCGCCCCATTCATCCTTTGACCTTCTCCCAGAAAGAACGAACATTGCATCTGGTGGACTCGAGCCAGCACGGACCCCTTCACCCTTCACCGAAATAGTGAGGAAGCGCGGAGGACCCAGGAGGGAACGAGGAGGAGAAGAGGGAGCAAGAGGAGCAGGAGAAGGAAGAGGAGCAGGAGGAAGGGTAAGGAGACCGAGGGAGGAGGAGGAGGAGGAGGAGGAGGAGGACGACGACGAGGACGAAGAGGACGAGGAGGGCATGTAGGAGGAGGAGGAGGAGGAGGAGGAGGAGGAGGAGGAGTTGAAGGAGGAGGAGCAGGAGGAGGGATAGGGAGAGATGGGGGAGAACGGACCACGAGGACGATGAAGGGTGTGGAGGTTCACGAGACGGATGTGGAGAGGCGGGAGGAGGAGAGGACAGAATTGGGAAAAGTTAAAGGAAGATGGGTTCTGAATGAAAGGAGCCTTCTCTTCATGCCTAACGGCTGGAGAGACACACTTTATCGGTCGGAGGTTCCCCAGAAGGTGTCTAAAAGGTTGCCAGAAGTTTTTGGGGGGCTATCGGAGGTTCATTGGCCCAAGGTGGTTTCCATAAGATCCGCCGAAGGTGGCCTTCGGCGCGCTTCTCCTCCTCCTCCTCCTCCTCCTCCTCCTCCTCCTCATTCTCCTCCTCATTATCCTCCTCCACCTCATCCTCCACCTCCTCCTCCTCCTCTCCTCCTCCTTCTCCTCCTCCTCTTCGTCCTCTTCCTCCTCGTCATCCACCTCCTTCCACCTTCCAACTTATGGCGGTGGTCGTGGTGGAAAACAGGCCCATCAGTCCAGATAGGTCTATAGGTCTGGAGGGCTATCTTTTAGCACTCTGGCTGGTCAGAGCTGGCGATCACGGGCGTGACCGAGAGGGATGGGGGGGTGCTCGAAGAATGAAAAACGCCAAAGAAACGTTTGAGCGCCCCGCGCGGTTTTCTTGGATCCGGGCTGGTCCCCCCCCGGCGGCGCCTCTGGCGCCGCCGCTGGCGCGCTCCTCGCGCCAGGGAGGAGGTCCCAGCGCGGATGCAAGAAATCCGCGCGGATTGGTGAAAGTTTCTGTTTATGCCATTCTCTGCTCGTTCCTCTAGGTGCGGGGAGGGGAAGGTGGCCAGTCAGCGCACGATTCGCCCTGGCGCTGTAGGGGAATGCCTTTTCTAGGCGTCGCATAATGGGGGGGCGATGAATATGGAGGCAGCGAGGGCTGCAGAAAAGGGTTCCTTTGGGGGCCCCCTTAGGGGCCCTTCGGGACCTAAATGGGCGCCTGTAGGTCCTGAAAGGTGCACCTTTCTTCTTCCCTATTTGTCCCCCCCCCACCATGCGGCGCTCAACTGTTCCCAGACGGCGCCAGCGCGCACAGAGACCTGACCGGGGGGGGGGCGGGGCGGGGGGCAGGGCCGGTCACGGGCGTGATCGCGAGTCAGGACAACATGGGCTCGAGAAGACCGCCCCCCTTCCTCGACCCACCCCGTGCTGCCGCGCCGCCCGCCGCGGGCTCGGCTGTGCGGGCTCTGGCTCCCTCCTCCTCCTCCTCCTCCTCCTTCTCCTCCTCCTCCTGCTCCTGCTCCTGCTTCTCCTCCTCCTCCTCCTCCTCCTCCTCCTCCTCCTCCTGCCTCCTCCCTCTTCCCTCCTCCTTCCTCCTCCCTCCTCCGTCCTCCCTCCAGTGCGGAGGAGCTGTTCTACTGCTCGTGGATCCAGGGCGCCGCAGCCTAGACTGCTCCCCGGCCGGTCGCGCAGACCTCTGCTGCTCCGAGGGGGAGGGGGCCCTCGGAGCCGTCTGGTGGCAGATGTCAGCGACTACGAATGTTGTGCTTGTCAGTATCGTTCAGCCAGCCCCAGATCCCCATCCCCATCCAAATCCACGTCCCGAGCCCCACCATCTCACCACCCCAGCCGGGGATGTACCCCTCGAGGCTCGAATGGAACAGCCTGTACGTATCCCCCCACCCTACCCTGGGGGCCAAATCGGTCGTTGGGGCCCAGGCCACGCCAGTAGGGATAGGGATGGGTTAAGCGGTGCTCATGGCGGCATATGCCAGCGACTGCAAAGGGTGCGGTTACGCCGGGGTGTGACTCGCGACCTGCGTCGTGGGGGCTCGTCGGGCCTCCTCGGGGCGCGGCGTGGCGGAGGGCCCAGTCGAGGTCGTCGCCCGGCCCGCAGGGTGCGCGATGCAAGCCACACTTTCTGCAGCCCATACACCCTAGGCGATACTTAAGAAAACTTACGTTTTCGGCCAGAGTCTCGATTATTCTTAATGTTTCAATGTAAGTCCTAAAGTTTTAATACACGTTCCGGGCTTTTATTCAAAATCTGAGACTATGATTTTCTTAACCCATGATTTCTAAATCATTTCGCAGGGTGTACCCCTCGGGGGTACTCGCCGAAGATGGCCCGAGGACCTCCGAGGGCCCGTGGACCCCGCCGATGACGGAGTCTGGGAGGCCTCGGACGGCCCAGGGGCGCTCCAGGGATCTTCGCGCAGCGACCCCCAACAGCCTGATTCCAGAGATCCTTCCTCCTCCGCATCTTCGTCCTCCTCCTCCTCCTCCTCCTCCTCGTCATCATCATCATCATCATCATCATCATCATCATCATCATCATAATTATCAGAATCATCATTATCATCATCATCATCATCAACATCAACATCATCATCATCACCACCACCACCACCATCATCATCATCATCATCATCATCCTCATCATCATCATCATCATCATCATCGTCATCCTCATCCTCATCCTCATCCTCATCCTCATCCTCCTCCTCCTCCTCCTTCTCCCCGTCCTCCTCCTCCTCCTCCTCCTCCTCCTCCTCCCGAGGTCCCAAACGGTCCGCTCACCCCGCAACGCACTTCACCCACCAGACAGTAATTATGACCACCAGACCGTCTTGGGACCCCCGATTAGTGCCCCTTTTCGGGAACGGGTGGATATGGATTTCGCAGCACGTTCTGGTGGTTTTCTCATATCTCCTGTGCTTCATTTGTTTCCTGGCGGGTACGGGGGATGTCCGTAGGTTTTCTGTTGTTCTCGGTCCCGATTTCTGGAGATATTCACAGGCTGTCGAATGTTCCCGAACGTCTCCAGAATGTTCCAGATGTTTTCGGAGAGATGATAGGGAAGCCAGACGATATGTAGGGAGGCGGTGGAAGGGGCAGGGGGGGGGAGGAACAGAACGAGGGACGGGGGAGGGAGGAAGGGATGCGGGGAGGGAGGAGACGAGGGAGGGACGGGGAGACGAAGGACGGGAGGGCGGGAGGGAGGAGGGAAGGCAGGAGATAGAACGGGGCAGGGAAATCGATTATCATACGTATGCTCGTCGCCTCTTCTTGCCCCAAATGGCCGCAACTCGGGCTCGTCATCCTAAGGGCCACGACCTTTTTCACAACCGACCCCAGGCTCGTCGCAGGAACTGATGTCAGAGGAGGAGGCGGAGGAGGAGGAGGAGGAGGAAGAAGAGGAGGATGAGGAGGCGACCTGATCTGACCAAGCAGCATGCCATCGACGTCGCCCTCCATCCCATGTCCAGCCCTGCTCCTGGTCTGGCGTTAGCCATGGCAGATCCCAGCCCCCAGTAAAGTCGGGGCCCTGAAGAAGGAACCCTTTTCGTTGGGGAGGGGCTCCGCGTTCCTTAAGTGTTTCACAGCTTACCTCAGGTTTTCCGATGTGCTCGATAGGAAATCGAAGTTGAACTTATGGAAACAAGAGGCCTCGTTCCTTATCTAGGGTTCCTTAGGTCAACGCCCCGACTGTACAGGGCATTGCTTGCTGCCTTGGCTATCCGACCAGCGCCCACGCTCCCACCCGTTTCCCTTCCTGCACGCCACCCGCCCAACATCCAGCAGGGGATGGACGGCCGACCCGATGCGTTTGGGCAGCCACTTCGACCGCCAGCTCCGACACCACGGCCACCGATGCCGCCGCCACGACCGGGCCCCCCACCCAGTGAAGGCATAGCGACCGATCGGGGGTGGAGAGAACCCCCAAACAGAGACACGTCGATTAGTGACTTGTCCGTTTTCGGTTCTCGACGGCGCCGTGGCCGTCATTTTCCAGGCTTGCGCCCGCCAGGTTTGGGCCTCAGGTCGTTTTCACTGAACCACGTTTTACTGAAGGGGGGTCTGTCCATCCCCGAACCGAGTCGCAGGAGTCGGAGCACCCTCACAGTGCGTCCCAATTTGGCGCGCCGACAGCGCCACGGGACCCTCCGCGAGGCGCGAGCTCTCCAAGACCAAGTAGAGGACGGCGGCGAACCTTCCAGACCGCTACCTTCTCTGTCCAAGTCTTCGCGCTTCGCTTGTGCCACCTCTTGGGGCTGAGGTGCACCTACACCACCACACTGCGTTTACACTACCCGCGCTTGTTCGTGGGCTTCATAGTCCGTGCGGACTCGGCCGAAATCATCCGCTCCCGCGGTTCCCTTTGGCCTTGTTCTCACTGGGCAATGGTCCGTCTTTGTCCGCTTGGGCACCCACTTTGGATGACTGGGACTGCAGGCCAAAGGCCCACCCCATGTGCTCCACCCGCCGTTCCGCACTCTCTCCACACTTCCCACCTACGGTGGCACCGGTCAGGTGGCGTCGTCCCCCCCACCTGATGGGCACCTTTCCCCCCTCAATTTCACGACTCTTGCAACGCACACTGTTGGGTTCTCTGCGGTCACCGCCGCCACCTGGCCCACCGGCGTTGCCCCTCTCCCCTCCTCTTTTATTTACCAGACTTGCGGCTATCGGCTGCGCCTCCCCCCCCCCTCCTCCACGCACACTGATGTGGTGTACCACGCCACTCGGCTTCCCCCCATCGTGGCAACGTTCACGTGCATGCTCCGAGGTGGTCACACCTATCCCAGCGGCGGGGTGCGACCACCCGCTGGCTCCGGTGGGTGGGCCTGGGGTGGCTGGATTCCTGTACAAGTGGTCCATCCTTTGACAGGACTGAGCCTTCACATGGCAGGCCCGTCCCTCCGACACCCGGCTTCGCTTGTGGCATCGCCCCCTTCCTCTGGACGGACATGTTGCTCGCGTGCGCCAGCGACACCAACGACCGTTTCCACGGTGCACGGCGCACGTGGCCCACGTCAGCCCAGCGGTTCTCCCACGGGCAGGTCCACAGGCCTCACGCTGGGTGGTGCAGCCGTGGTACCACGCAGCGTCCCCCCCATCCACAGTGGCAAGGAAGTTGCAGGTTGGGTCTCCCACGACTAGGCTGCCGACGCCTGTCATGGTTCGGCGCACCTGTCTTCGAGCACTTTAGGTGCTTTGTGAGTGAGGCTTCCGTCCTTTCCCCTCCCCTCGTCGCCTCCTGCGCCTGTCTCCCCTTCTGTCCTCCTCGCCGCGTTTGGCGGTGCCTTTCCTCGGGCGCTGCGCCGCCCGCGCAGCGTTCCCGCCTTCTCGCAGGCTTGGTCTGTGGGGGCTGGCGCCACAGTGCGACCCTCCGCCGGCTTTTCCAGTCTGCTGCCGTCTTCCGTTCCCGGGTCGGCTCCAATGAGGTTCGTTTTGTCCCTCGCACGTGCATTGCGGCGTTGGCCTGTGCGCCTTCGTTGCCAATCGTCTCGCTTTGCGCCCCTGTCGAGATTGACCCGCTCTCCGGAGCCGTCCTTGGAGCCACAGATCCAAAAAAGTATCCTCACCAAATAGCCGGTCGCCGCGCCTTTGCGTCCCCACCTGCGGGGATGTCTGGGCCGGTCACCTGCCGACGTTGTCCTGCGTCTCAATGAGGGGCATTTTGTCCCTGGCATGTGCATACGCCACTGCGGCCAATTTACATCGCACCGCGCCCCGGACGTTGTGCCCGCCCCCTGTCCCTCGCCTTGGAGCCGCGAACCAAAAAGTATCCCCGCCAGCTTGCCGGCACGCATTGCGTGGCTCACAGTCGCTCGGCCTTGCGCTTGGGGGTGGTCTGACAGGTGTTGGCTTCGTTACGGAGTGGTTCAGCCTTCCGCAGCAGGTACAGCATGTCAGGCTCTCTTTCAGCTTTCCCCAGTTGCGTTGCACCACGGCTCCCGACAGCCCAGCCTTTCTGGCTAGCTCAAGTCGCTCGGCGTTTGTAGCCTGGCGCCCCACTGGCGACTCACTCCAATGGCCTCCCAGTTCCCCCCACTCAGCACGACGGACTTGATTATCCTGGTTCACGTCTCTACTGTGTGGGTCGTGCCATGGCAAGCACCGAACTCCGTGACACTTTGTCCTGCGCACGCGCTCGAGCTTTCAGGATGCCGCCCGCCGTCAGCTCCCCCTTTCAGCTTCGCGGTTGCTGTGTGAGTGGGCCGGCCGGCCGGCCTGTGCCTGTTGTAGTTGATTCGCCTAGTTCGCGTCCCGGAGTTTGCTGTTGCCGCCTGACCTCCTGCGTCGCGGCCGCGACCAAAACAAATATCCCCACCAGCCTGGTCGCCACAACGCGTAACACAGAATTCCCCGGCATTTTGCCGCAGGGTTGCACGTTGCTCGAGCTTCCCTGGGAGTTCCAGTTCAGCCAGCCAGCCCCCCGCAGCCGCTGCACCAGCTGCCGCGTTTGTGAGCCGGCCCGGCCGGCTCGTGCTGCGCTCAGAAGCTAATCAGGTTTGCCCGTCGGCCCGGACAACTTCTCTCGCCGCCTGCGCGCTCGCTGGTGGCCGCGACCAACAAAAATATCCCCACCAGCCCGTTCGGAAATTTTGCCCATGAGAGCTGACGGGACAGGGGGCGAAAAAACACACC